TTATATGTTTGTCAGTGGTGCTCAGGATCTGCAAATCATTCGCCATCGTCCTCAGTCATCTCCCCTTACTGTGTTTATGTGGTAAGTGGAATTTTATGTACTGTAATGTAACAGTCAACCATTAGCATTAGCAATCGTTATTTGTTTTCCGTTTGTTTTTCCATGCCTTTCTAAATACGGATTCACGCTTTGGGCACACCCTATAACCGCCATCAACCGTCATCGTCCATCGCGATGTTTCACTGTACACATCGTCCGATGCCAATTTGGTAGACATCGCCCAACCCTAGTTTCGCTATTATACCTGGCATTGAAACTGCTTCTGAATGAGCGATCGCTTTTTAGTAGGGCTGCACAATAAATTGCATGCGATATTTAATGCGCATCTTGTCAGTAAAGCCGGTTCTGTAATCAGCGGTAAATCTCCATCACGTGCGGGCTTTCACATTGAGCAGCTGTTTCACTGTACACATCGTCCGATGCCAATTTGGTAGACATCGCCCAACCCTAGTTATACTACAATTTAAAATTAAAATACATTTTAAATAATTGTTTTCTATTTTAATATAATTTAAAATGTAATTTGGCTCCATTGTGCTGCGGGCATCCCGAGTCCCGACTCGAGGACCTTTCCCGATCCCCTCCCTCTTTGCTTCCTGTCATGTCTGATCTGTCCTGTCATAATAAAATGCCAAAAATAAATATGAAAAAAAAGTAGTAATTTATTCCTGTGATCGTAAAGCTGAATGTTCAGCAGTCTTCTACACTATGCCAGTCTTCAGTGTCATGTGATCCTTCAAAATTCATTCTAATATGCCGATTTGCTGCTCAAGAAACATTTCTTATTATTATCAACAACATTGAAAACAGTTGTGCGGTTTAATATTTTTGTGGAAACCGTGATCTTATCTTCCTGACCCCAAACTTTTGAACAATGATGTACTGTACGTTTCACATATATTACCATGTTTAAATCCATTTACCCAAAATCAGAGAAAGTAAAACAGGTCTGCAAATTGTGTCTGTGACTCACATTTCCAGCTTTGGAGATCTTAAGGTCTATGGAAGGAGCAGGTTTCCTCTCTTTCCTCCTCTGCAGGTAGTCCAGGAGTCGGAGCTGTGGCAGTGCAGGGCAGTGGCTCATCATCTCCTGCTGTCTGTTCAGAGCTGCTTGAGAATGCCTCCTAAAACACCTGCAGAGAGGAGAAACATGACATCTATCAGCGTGGAACGATGGATAGCTGATATATGATGGATTCGATCATCTGCTGTTGAATTTCAGGATATCTCTGTATCAAATACAACATTTTGAAGCCTTTAACTTTGATAAACCACATGAAATAATCAGATTCTTGCACTCGACTTTAACAGGCAAAAGATCTTCAACTTAACTATTTTTTGTTAGCTGCATAGAGCAAAACCCACTCACATTTCTTTAGTCTCAACAATACAATGAGAGATCATAACAGCAGCGGCTTCTCAGTTCACAGATGGTGACTAAGCACAGATAAAAGATCTACACTGCGCACATGTACATAAGCTCTGTGGGTTTAAGCAATATCTTGGATGCAAAATGTTTGCAGTCACAAACAATCACACAACACACTGAGCAGCAGACGACAGGAACTCATCATAGACAGTCTGATTGTGCACTTTTGGTTTAAAGACAACTGATGATCGAGCGTATGAAGCCAAACACAACCTAAAGTGCATTACCGTTTCATGGATCGTGTGCTCATCTTCTGTTTGTTGTAGAGCAGACGGTTGGTGGTGCAGCTGACAGAGATGGAGGGGTCCAGACACAGTGGCTCCGCTGTGGCCAGAATCAACTGACTCTCCAGCTGAAGTTTATCGTCCTACACATTCAAACCACACGAGAATCAATGCATCCTCCATCCTTCACACTGTGCTGTGAATCTGTCACTTTAATGCTCTTTACCAATCTACGGTACTTATCAAAAGTTTAAGGTCAGTACGATTTTTAAAAAATTAAACTAATATTTTATTCAGCAAAGATGCATTAAATTGATCAAAAGTGACAGTAAAGACATTTATATGTGTAAAAAAAAAAAGAGATTTATATTTCAAATAAATGCTGTTTTTTGAACTTCCTGAAATGTATCCCAGTATCCACAAAAATATTAAGGAGGATACAACTGTTTTCAACATTGATAATAAGTTATCAAGTTTTGCTATATGCTTTATAAATTTATATTCTTTTCTTTTTTATTATTTTTATCTTTTGAGCTTTCATTTATTTTATTTCAGTTTTAGTAATTTTAGTATTTCAACTTAGTTAGCTGCCAAGGCAACATTTCTTTCTCTTACAGTTTCATCTAATATTGATATTTTAATTCAGTTTTATTTCAATTAACAAAAATGATTTCATATTATTTTTAGTAAACAATAACTGAAATTTGATATAGGGCAGGTAACATTTTCAACACTGATAATAATAAAAAAAAATTCTTGAGCAGCAAAGCAGCATATTAGAGTAATTTCTGAAGGATCATGTGACAGTGAAGACTGGAGTAATGATGCTGAAAATTCAGCTTTGACATCACAGGAAAAATGTACATTTTACAAATATATTAAAACAGAAAAGTTATTTTAAATTGTAACAGTGTGTCACAATATTACGGGTTTTACTGTATTTTTGATCCAATACTTGCAGCCTTGATGTGCATAAGAGACTTCTGTCAAAAACATTAAAATAATCTTACTGACCTCAAAGTTTTGAATGTTAACCTCACCTGTGTCCACTTGTGGTGATCACTTGTCATAGCATGAACATCACAGATCAGGGTCTGGTGTGGAGAAAATAGATGACTTAAAGATACTATAGAAAAAAATACAGAACAGGGACTGCTGGTCACAGACCAGGTTTGTTACTGACCTGCATAGTGGGTCTCAGCAGGATGTGCCGGCTCTGGTAGGTGGGCATCTTTGCATTTCCAGACTGTCGGTAGTCCCTGACCTCAGCTATGACACAGCCACAGTGGAATATGTTCACCTGACAGAACAGAAGCGGGAAATAAATCTAAGCTGGTGGTTTATGCATCAGTTCGTCAGAGTGCTATAAAACTATTCTGACTGGAATTAAAGAAACATGTAGGTTAATTAAATTAAAATCACATCTAGAATCAATTCTGAACCAGTATTATTTATGTTTTATACTGTGCTTACTAACATTTTGAATTAGCTTTTATTTTTATATTTTCAGTTAATTTTAGTTTTAGCTATTTGCTATGTGGTTTTGTCATTATTTTTTGTATTCCTAAGTAGCTTTATTTTATTTAAGACATATTTTTTTAGTTTTAGGAATTGAACATTTCACATTTTCGGTTAAGTATAGGCTATATATTTTATTTCAGCTTTACCGAAAACAATTTAATAACAGTTTTAGTTTCAGTTAACAATAACACTGTTGTTCTGAACATGATTTAGGGCAGGCTGTGTTTATATATAATACAATTTAAATATTTGAATATGTTAATGTAAAAAAAATATATATATATAAAATGTCATGAATAGCAGACATTAGAAAAATAATGAAATGGGAAAAAAAAAAGAAAAGAAAAAAAAAAAACATTAAGAGACTACGCATAAAAAAATGTACATGCCACTAACCTGTGATTTTTCTAGAAGGTCTACAAGGATGGGCGGCAGCTCCTCAGCATCCAGGTACTCCAGTAACTCTGTTTCTTCATAGCGAAGTCGGATTGTTTCTGAATCTTATAGGTTGGGACGAGTTCATTAACATGCAACATGAAAAGCTCAGCTGATTTAACCATAAAAACTAATAAAAAGCAGACAGTACCAGATCCATTTTTTCCTCTAAGCATAAGTGAGTATCCTTCATTTCCAGGGTACAGGTTGACCACCAGACATGAGACTGACTCCTGTGAGACCAGCTTCTCTAGTAGATTCACATTTCTCCTCAGTTTCTACAGAAAGAGGGCAGAACGGAGAATAAATACACACAATACAATATTAATAAAACATGATTTGATAGACTTATAAAATCCCACCCAACTTAATGTCTTGTTTCATGAAGAATGGCTGTGAATGCTACTTCATTTTTTATGTTACAGCAGCTAAAAAAAATACCTTCAACTCTGGTTCTTTTTCACACTCTTCAATGTACAATTCATAAAGTTTCTGATATAAGGATTTCCTTCCACTCGAGGATACTCGTCTCTTCGCCGGTCGCTGACGAGCACTTTCAACAATGTACTAAACAAGAAATAACAATGTTATTGAACAGTAATAGAATATACACACACAGCTATTCTTCTCCACAGTGATTTCTCAGTTTGCATTTATAAAACTGCAGCAGTAAAATAACAGTGCTTATAATAGACACAAATAAACACCACTATGTACAATAAAAAAAAAGTACAGCTTAAATGAAAACAGAAATAAGTTCGAACAAATACCTCAGCCCGATCCAATGCATATTCTAAGACTTGTTGCTGTGGAAGAAACATAAATGAAAATGCATTAGATAATCTCTTGTACAAGTCAAATATGATCAAATCCGTCACATAATGTTAAATAAAATCCAATCCTGTTAAAAATGCATCATTGAATCAAATCTGTAGTTCTTACCATTGTGGTTGCTGCGTGACAGGAGGCGATGTTGTGTTACACCAGCACTGTCACCTCCACAAACACACCATTCAAGCCCTAAGATCAGAGAGAGAGAGTTCAGAAACACACTACCACCTGTCAGCTGACAGTTTCCATTCAAAACTCAAACCCAGACACCCAACGACAAGTGTGTGAATGCGAATACACAAAGTATGAGACATGAACTCAGCTCATTAAGACTGTTATGCATCTGTGGGTGTATGCACTCACAACATCTGGCAAACAAATGTGGCGAACTTCAACACGATGATGACAAAGTATGTGTTAAAGGATGCAATAGCAATGAACAGCATGCATTCATGAAATGCGAAGGAATATGTTCCCAGCAGAAGAAGGCAAACTTCAGCACTGCAGCTCCAGCAAACGACAGGCTGGCTAACCACAGCTAACAGCTCACTTCAAATGCACAAATCCACAAAACACGACCGACTGACAGAGCGGGGCAGAACGTGGCAATAGCGACAAACATCAAAACCGACTTGCCAATCGAGTTGCATCACCACAGGCAGGAAATCCAAAGCAAGAAGCGGAATAAATGTTCCAGTGCCTTCAATGAAAAAAACTCACAGCAGCCATTTTGTTCCAGTGTAACAACAAAATCCAAACTTCCGGTGTGCGCGCGTGCTGGAGGCGGAACCAAAGATCTGCGACGCGGAGCCGCTCAAAAACGACATTTTTCGTAATGATATATCGCACGATGCAAATCTCCAAAAAATCACTATGCTAGCCATAGTTTCACCAAAATACCGTAGTTACTTCAGATATTGTTACTACATTTAATCTGTGGCAACTTGGTTTTAGCCACCAATGTTAACAAAACAAAATGACAAACTTTTTGTGGGGGATCAGTAACAAATGTTTTTACAGTAAAAAATATGGTAAACTGCAGTGTTTATCTTAGAAATAAATCAGCAAATCAATTTAAATTATCTACAATAAATAATACGTTATAATTAATATCAATAATTTTATTAATATTATTTTTTTTTTACAGGTGGGTATAATCTTGACAATGTTTCCTTTGTATAATTTACTGGAAGTTACCAAATAGGAATATAAATTGAATACAAATAGAAATAGGAAGCATAAAGACAAAAAAGTATGATTATCATCAGAGACTAGGAAGCAAGAGAAGATTTTTAGTGGAGAATGAATTTTCAGGTCAGAAAGGGTCTAGAAATACAATAAAGGCAACCTCTTATGTTCTAGTTTAAACCAAATTATTTTGCAATGTATTCGTGTATATATTTTGATTAGGACCACTTGTATTGATACAGTAAAATTTTTTTAAGGTGACAGTTACTAGTACTTAACAGTAAATTATGCATAATTACAACCAATCCTAAACCAAACCCGAACACTAAAGGTAACCTTATAGTAAGTACATAAATGTGTAATTACACTGCCACAATGTCACTTTAAATTAAAGTGTAACCCTTTTATCTTTCCAGTTTTTCAGCAAGTCATTTATAATGCTGACAAGAGCAATTATTTGTTTTTATTTTTTTGCTTTAGGATGAGATAATCAGTTCAAAACGAACCAGTAAATGAAAAGAATCACAGAGTTTTAAGAAAAATATTTTTATTAATTCATTCCCTAAAAAGAAAATGTACACATCACTCCAAACAAAAGCATCCAGAAATCTTCTAAACTGATGGGTAGATCCACTAACAAACAGTATTGCATAAACCACTTGAATGTCACAACACAATAAAAAAAGTGTAATTACACTGCCACAATGTCACTTTAAATTAAAGTGTAACCCTTTTATCTTTCCAGTTTTTCAGCAAGTCATTTATAATGCTGACAAGAGCAATTATTTGTTTTTATTTTTTGCTTTAGGATGAGATAATCAGTTCAAAACGAACCAGTAAATGAAAAGAATCACACAGAGTTTTAAGAAAAATATTTTTATTAATTCATTCCCTAAAAAGAAAATGTACACATCACTCCAAACAAAAGCATCCAGAAATCTTCTAAACTGATGGGAAGATCCACTAACAAACAGTATTGCATAAACCACTTGAATGTCACAACACAATAAAAAAAATTTTTTTTTTAAATGTAAAAAGGAAAATAATAAGACAAGCAACGAATAAACATAAGAGAAAAAGAATAAGACATCAATGACACCAGTATAATCAAGTTAACATTTTAACACATGGCCTACATCTGCAACACAGTCGAGACAAACATGAAACTCATTCAACTCATGTAGTTCATTCAGTATTTCCACAGCAGTGTGCTTCATTATTTCAGTAACTCCAACCTCCTGTATGTCAAATCACAGAATGAACCATAAACGAAAAATTTAAACGTTTTACAAGAACGTCAGACACATATTGCTTCTTTTCCAGAATTTAACCATTATTTCTAGTTTGCTGACTTGACCTCGGAGCATAACCAGAATGACAAAATACACTCATACAAAATAAAATACTCTTAGAAACCCCAGAGGGGTCAGTCGAATATGTCTCTCTTACAAAGAGAACAGAATTGAGAATTCTTAGCTGATTTCTTAAAACATTTTTTTTTTAAAGATTCTAGAGATACTGTAATAGACTTCGTAGAACCATAATAATAGACACTTAACCATGCACACATCAGGGCAGCAGGTGGACAGGATTCTCTGAATGTCCACCAGATGGCAACACAGTCTGTTCTGAAATCAAGGCAGCTGGGTAAAGGCTCACTTTGCACTTTTCAATTTATGCACGGACCCTAAATACAAGAAACCATACTATAACAGCACAAGAAAACAACCTCTACACACTACAGAAAAGAAAACCACACATTACAAAAACTAATTTACTTTGAAATATTTGTAACAAGCAAATAATTGTCCTAACAAAATAAATACTGAATAGTTACCACGAGGTAACAAAAGGCTTTGGTTGAGCATTCCCATCTCTCCAATATTAATCCCAGCACCGAGTTAAGCCTAAATCAAAGTTAGGCCTGTGCTTAACATTTGTGAAAGACCAATCTATACCAGCTGAAACGTTCACGTCCATTCTTAATCATAACCCGTGAAATGTTGTGATGGGGGAAAAAGCACCTATGAAATGTCAGAACAGTTTTAAGAGTGCAATAACAAAAGAAATGTAAACTTCCACTAAAGCGCTTATGCTGAACTTCAGCACAACAGGAGAAATATGCCTGCTTAGAGTAATGGAACAACTACCGTCATTAACAAGTTCCACTGCAATGAGCAGAGGGAGGGGAAAACTGTTAACTAAGCAACAGTTACCACAGCAACACCACAACCAATCAGCAAGCCTGAACGTGCAGGAGGAACACTGTCAGACTCATCCAAGGCTATCAACCACCCAACATGATCAAGTGTAGAGTGTAAACAGTGATATGAAGACGTATATGAATGGAACCACGAACGTATATGAATGGAACCACGAAAAAATTTAAACGAGTAAGGTTTTAAAACCACCTCATTCTGCATAGAAACACTTTTGGACACTTTCGCTTTCAAAGTCCAGTTTTTGCTGAAAATTCAGACGCCACCTTTTAGAGCGAGGCGACTTTAACCTCGTTAGCACAGCGTTGTGCGTTTCCGGTCCGCTTGAGCTTCCATGAGAGTCTGCTTGAAGCCGAGCTTTCTTTCTGGTCTTTCCCTAAAAAGCACTCATTCCACTGGGTTGTTGCCAGCTTTGACCCCTGCTCGCCCGATCTGGAGCCACGGCAGCTTGGCGCAGTTTTTAAAGAGCTGCTCGATGGCTATGTGCCGTACATGAAGCTCTGAAGAAAGAGAGTCCTTCTCCTGCACAGCTACGGACAGCTCCTCAAACACTTCTGAGGGACAAACACAGAGTCTGCGCGTTAGTACACAAGAATAATGATAAACCTACATAAGAAACGTGAAATATGCATAAGCGGGGCTCAACATAAGGATGGCCAGCTGGCCAAAGAGTAGATCTGTTGCTTGCCCTATATCTTACATTTTGATAATGTACATGCACTTTCATGCCTCACAAACGTAAACATTTGGTTTTCTGTGACATTTGGTTGCAAAGAGTCTTTTTAAACTGGCTGATATGGACCGAGGTTTTATTGAAGTTACAAGACTTGTTGGCATCAGTAAGAATGGGATGAAAATTACACATCATTCACTATGTAGGCCCTTATTTTCCAGAAAAAGTGTTAATGAATATATGGAATATCTTGTATAAAATTACTGAAAATGATCTTTGTGAGGAAAATGTTAAATAACTAAAAAAACAACAACAACAACAAAAAACACCTAAGATTTAAAATGTAATATTTTTATTAATTTATATTAAATTAAATAATTTAATTTATAAAATAAGAAAACAACAAAATGAAAAATGTAATGTAAACTGAAATAAAAATGGTAAAATACTGTAAAAACACGAGACAAATAAACAAATTATGAAATAAATAAGGACGTTTATAAGTAAATAAAAAAATGTATACATAAAACATAAATGCAAATAAATATTGAAAAGTAAATGTAAACGCTGAAATTTAAATGTAAATAATGAAATGAAGCTAAATATTAAAATTAGTTTAAAATTAACTTATTCATGTGTTGGGGGCCCAAATAAAATGTTGGCAGGGTAAGTACAAACTGGGCCAGCAGAAAGCTTTTCTGTAGCTTTAATGAGATTAATAATTTATCTACCACATAATTTTTGGTTGTGATATTCCAAATTTGGCAGAGGAAATATGGTATATAACAAAAACAAAAGAACACACATCAGTTTCATTTATTATTAATATCGAGTGACTCTTCGCCCCAGAATCTGTTTGGGTTCAAAGGAGTAGTTCACCTAAAACGGAAAACGGTCATATTTTTCTTATTTTTGGGTGAAATATCCCTTTAAGTTTAAAGATGAGACTCACTTTGTATCTGTAGCAGTAGCTGCTCGTTCAGCTGGCGAAGCTCCTCCACACTCATCCTCACCACTGAAAGAGAAAGACAAACAAACACTGTCACTTTTCAATGAAGTGAAAACTGACAAACACATCTCCTTTCACAGCTGAAAGCAGATGCCTTCATAACAGTCCTTGAGACGCATTCTTCTCAGAACAGCACATGGTGTGACCCTGATGACATATCGGTTTTTAACAGAAGCCATTTCATTGGGTGAGATAAGGAGACAGACATTGAAGAACGGTGAGAGAAATCAAAGTCTAGATTGACCTCAACCTCTTATTGGTGCTTTGTGGACTATATTGACGGGAAAGATGCAGAGATACAAAGCGAAAGATAAAACCCTAATGGTGAGGATATCGATTTCCGTCCTTCACTTTGTCTAAGATGCTACTGTGGGAATTCAACTGAGCCCAAAAACATTCAAAATGCTGCGTCATTTATAATACCTACACAATCAAAGCAAATAATACCATTCAAGGTTTGGGGTCAGTAAGATTTCTTAAATGTTTTTGAACAAAGCCACTTGTGCTCACCAAGGCTGCATTTATTTGATAAAAAATATAGTAAAAACAGTAATATTGTGAAATATTATTACAATTTAAGGTGTAATAATTTAACTGTTTTCTCTTTGAATATATTTTAAAATGTAATTTATTCCTGTGATGGCAAAGCAGAATTTTTAGCAGCCATTACTCCAGTCTTCAGTGTCACATGATCCTTCAGAAATCATTCTAATATAATATTTAGAGCTCAAGAAACATTTTTAATATCATTAATGTTAAAAACAGTTGTGCTGCTTGATATTTTTGAAGAAACTGTGATTGAGTTTCAGGATTCTTTGATGAAAGAAGAACAGAATTTATTAGAAATAAAAAAATCTATTGTAACATTAGTGTCGTTACCGTCACTTTTAATCATTTTAATGATTAAAACATTACATTTCTTTAAAAACAACAACACACTGACCCCACACTTTTGAGTGCTAATGTATAGCATGAATACTCACGCTCTTCTCGACTGTGTCTCCTCTGTCTGGCTGTGTCTCTCTGCTGTTCTCGTAGGTGGTGTCTCTCTCCAGCCCACAGTCCCTGGCGTGATCCCTGCAGCAGGCCGAGACCGAGCTCCTCGGCAGAGTGACAGTCCAGCATGGTTTTCCCATACTCTGACTCCGCCATCGTCGCCTCTTCCGCCCATCGTGGGGCGTAACGGGGAACCTGGGCATCGGACTGGGGCACGAGTTTCCTGCCGCCCAGCTGAGTGTGACACAGAATCTGTTTGGCCCCCCAGCGCCCGGGTGTCTCAGCAGTTACGGAGTCTCTGTTCTGGGCGTACTGTATAATGCGGTTGATTCGCTGGCTCAGAGCCCGCTTCACGCCCTCGTACGCGCTGTGGGAGGCCTTGGCGCTGGAGAGCTTCTGGTTGGCGATGAGATGGTACTTTTCAAAGCAGTCTCTATGTCCACGTAGAGATTTGGAGTGCAGCAGGGTGGCGCTGCATACACCTGGTATAAAACACAAAGGAGGATATTTGCAATTCACTGTTAAGAGCCAAACATAGTAAAAATGCTATCAAATGCAATAAAAGGTCAAAGGTCAAGATGCAAGTGGTATTGCATATGACTACCAAGACCATGAAAAGTTAAATGGTTTGTATGATTAAAACTGTGATTATTTGTGTTTTCAGGCATGTGTGAATGGCTCAGTACAACCACAAAACTATGCAGAATTGACTGAGTGACCTAAATAAATATATCATCTAAAAGATTACATAAAGTATCCTAAACTGAAATTTATTTAGGAATTAAGTGAAATCTCTTAACAGCTTCCAGAATATGAAAAATGAGAAAAGCTCATACGCTGGCTTTCATTTGTTTCTCACGATTCTTTAAATAGGAGCAAAGAAATGAAAGACTATTTATACTGTCGTTAGGGGAGAGTGAGTGTGCCACATTTTACTTCATCCTTTAGGCAGGGAGAAATAAGGGAACGTTAAATTAATATGCCTAAATATATTTCAGGATGTCTGCTATTAAAAAAAATGAGAAGGAGACGAAGACTAATATTCTACCAATTAATTTACAATATTTTATATACTTTGTTTGGGCTCGAGGTATTAAAGATTTTTTCAATTTGATAAAAATACAGTTAAAACAGTAGTATTATGAAATATTATTGCAAATTAAAACAAATGTTCTCTATTTTAATATATTTTAAAATGTCTTATTTTTGTGATGGCAAAGCAAAATATTCCACAATCATTACTCCAGTGTTATATGATCCTTTAGAAATCATTCTAATATGCTGATTTAGTGTTGAAATTATTATCAATGTCACAGTTGTGCTGCTTAATATTTTTGTGGAAACCGCTTTTTTGTCAGGATTTTTTGATGAGTAGAAAGTTTAAAACAAAAAAATAATAATATTGAAATTTGAAATAATATTTTGTAACATTATCTTACTGACCCCAAACTTCTGAATGGTAGTGTACACACTAGGGCCTTTCGCACCGCTTTAGTTCCAGAACTAAATGTACAGTACTAAAGTACTGGGACGATTTTGCGCGAACTATTTCCCAGTACCATTTAAAGGGTTCGCACCGACAGTGTGTACTAAGAAGTGACGTAAGCCGGTCGACAGCTACGTCATTTGTGCGCGGTGTTCAACAACAGAAACAAAGAAGAACAACATTAACAACAGGAGGATGGAGGACGCTGTGATCGGAGCTGTGTTTTTGTTGTGTCTCGCGGGTTTCACAATAATGGACATGGAAAGCTGACGTATACGTAAAGCGATCGAAAGAACGGAAAGGAGGACTAAGAATCTCCAACGACAACTGGCAGTGCTACATTTGCTACAAGTGCCTGCACTTCAGCGTCCGTCCATCTATCGCTGTTCTCCATACTTGCGAAATAAGTTGACACAATGTTTACAGTATGTTTACACGGTGTTTTAAATCATGGCGGGTGAGGGCGTTTTCGACCGCGTTTGGCCAATCAATGTCTACTTACGTCACGATTAGTACCAGTTGTGCTGGTTAGACCCTGCTCTGGAGTAGGAGCTAATTTGGTTCTCGAAAAAGGCAGTCCGGTACTAAAATCGCACCCAGTTCTGGCGGTGCGAAAACGCCAAAAAGTGGGTAGTTCCACAATTAGTTCTGGTACTATGAAAAGGTTCCCGCGGTGCGAAAGGCCCTACTGGCACCAATGTTTTTAGATTTGGATAAATTTGCCTTGACAAAATACATTTTACATGCTATAAGTGTATAAAATGTACTTTTAAATGCTAAAAATGATCAAAAATGGTCTTCTTCAGTAGTATATAATGGGCCACATGACATGAGTGACCCATCTTTCTTAACCAACTCTCCCTTACAAATTTAATCTGATCCAAGATCAGCTTTCCATCCTTAATTAGTCCTTCAAGGCTTCAACCCCTAACAACACTGAAAAACTGAACTCTGACAAGCTTTGAACAGCTGCAACTATAAATCACTCCATCTCCGAGCGAATCAGCACATGAAAACATCACTTCCTGTTTTGGGTCCTTGTTGAGCAGATTAAAAAATGTTTTGCCTGTAACTCAAACTAGGCCAAGAACAAATAAAACACACAGGCATAGAACGAGTGCTGCTGGGTGCCTTTGTGTGTTGGTTTTGCATTAGGATGTGCCATTTATGTGGGAGCTCAGTTTTGTTCAAACATGTTTTGAGTTCTAATCATGCCACACAGCAGCCAGCAACAGAGACTGTTGCGGGACGCAGAGAGAGAGAGAGAGAGAGAGAGAGAGAGAGAGAGAGCGAGAGACTCATTTGCTCTTAAAAGGAAAAACTGAAAAATCTGCCATTATTTACTCTCTCTCATGTTAGTGGTGCAACGGATCACAAAACTCACGGTTCTGATCATATTATGGATTTTGAGTCACGGATCGGATAATTTTTCAGATCAGCAAAAAAATGTAATAAATAAATTTGTGAAAGCTTACTTTAAAGGTGACATATCATGAAAATCTGACTTTTCCAGGTTTTAAGTGCTATAATCAGGTCCCCGTTGGAACCAAGAAAACGTGAGAAAGATTAACCCAGTAACTTTGTTTTGGTAAGCCTTTTTCTGAGAAAACGAGCGCGTCTGATTTCGCTTCCTTGGTGGTTATTGTGTTTTCGCCAGCGACAACGGTGTATTAGTTCTAATGCCATAGCGAAAGTTTGAGCAAAACATGCTAATTGTTCTGTCTTTGGCTGCACAGACGAGCACAGAACACTGTTTAGAGTCCCAGCCTCAGAGGAGACAACAGAGCAGTGGATTTATTTACTGTATATTGCTGCTGCCACACAGATCTAATAAACATAATAAACAAAATAAACATGCGATTTATTTCCCAGCTGTTTACCTTCAGACATACTCATGTTGTTCCAAATTTTATAACTAACTTTCTTCAGTGGGACACAAATCAGGGATCGGCATTAAGGACTGTCTAATGGCCCAGGGCCAAAAAACTTACTGTCCTATTAATTTCATTTGCATCTTTATTTTAGTATTTACTTGTACTATTGCTTGCAACTATTGTAACTATTGCCATTCAAAAGTTTGGAATCAGTAAATTCTTTTTTTTTTTTTTTTTTTTTTAATTTTTTAAAAATACAGAAGAAAAAAAACAGTAAAATTGTGAAATATTATTGCAATTTTAAATAACAGTTTTCTATTTTAATATATTTAAAAATATAACTTATTTCTGTGAAGCTGAATTTTCATCAGTCTTTACTCCAGTCTTCAGAGTCACATGATTCTGCAGAAACCATTCTAAAAAGTTGATTTATTTTCAATAGTGCTGTCAAACGATTAATCACGATTAATTGCATCCAAAATATAAGTTTTTGTTTACATAGTATGTGTGTGTCTACTGTGTATATTTATGTATATATAAACACACACCCATGCATGTATATATTTAAGAAAAATGTGTTACGTTTATATATTTATATATAATATAGGGTTTTAGTGTTGTTTGAGTGAACAAATCCTTTATTACAACAAACTTGAAACCATTTTAATTAAAGTATTAAAGTCTCCCTTCTGAAAAAAATTTAAATAAATGTAAAAAACAATTAAAAAAATAAAGCTGTACACCTCATGTATATCTATAATCACACTTTAACATTTTAATTAATGTTTTACAATTTTATTAAATTAAAATATACTACTCCTTTTTTCTTTTTTTTTTATAAAGTGTGACGTGACATGTGGCCAAGTATGGTTACCCATACTACCCGCGTCTCACACACACGAGCGCGACTTCTGCACTAGATTTAGCAACTTTCAGACCCTTTTAGCGCTTTTTTTTCCATAGAATATTCATACTGACAAACCTAGCGACTTTTTTGGATAAACCTTAGCTATGGTTCAGTTGGAAGATCGGCGTCTGTTCTGTGCAGTGAGCTGCAGTCTGGCAGCGCTTTCAGTTGGCCGCACACGCA